ATATCATAATAATTCAGTATCATGATGATACTTTAGTTAAAGTCGTAAAATAAAATAAAAATCTCAAAGTCATATTTTCCTTCTATTTAAATCTAACGGGCTTAAGTCCAAATCAAATTTGAATTTTATTTTGTTAAAAAAATGGGTTAATATTATATTCTATTTGATCATACTTAACCCTATAAATAATGTGATGAAACATTAATGGATTTTAGACACAAATATTATAACCAAAATATTAAGACTTCTAGGCACATGATGAAAGAGGCTAAGGTTAAAGAAATGGTGTTACTAGGTCTCATTTGTCGACATAGCATACAATTGCTTTGTATATTTGTTCCATTGAAAACCTAAAATATTGAAGCATGTGATTAGGTAAAGGAAGACTTAATATTTTGGTTATAATATTTGTGTAATGCAAAACAAATTCTCCAAAGTACATCCAATTATATCTTAATAAAGTGAGTAAATATTTTATTATTCTCACATTGCATTAAGTATGATTGCTATTTGTTTTTCTTAAAAAAAAAATAATTACAACCAAAGTTTAGATAAATAAAACATTTTCCACCTTGCACAATACTAGAAAACTCAATTCATAATTATGAATTGTTTTTCTTAAAAAAAATAATAATTACAACCAAAGTTTGCATAAATAAAACATTTTCCACCTTGCACAATACTAGAAAACTCAATTCATAATTATGAAATCTATTGATCCTTTGGCAAATGTACCAATATCAACTTGTAATTAGTAGTGATATATGAGTTGTCTTTACAAGGATTAGGTTGATATTTATCAAATTTCATAATCAAGCCAATTAAGCAAGAAATTTATATCCACAATTTTATTAAGATAAGGTGCATTTTTTTTGTAATATGGAATTCAAACTAAAAATAAAATGTAACAAGTTGAAAAATTGAATTTAATTCAATAGATTTAGATTATTGGGATCAAACTTCAACAATCAAGATTAAAAGTACTTCATAATCTAACACACTTACCTCACAGTTATTCCATCAACACAGTTGACTTGAATATCTAAACATTGATTTCTCGATATTTAGTTATGAGCATCTTCATAAATCATCAATTCCTTGCACAGCTAATGAAGAAAACTTGCATTGAGTTTAACAATTTATATGTCTAATGAGTTGAATTCTATTCCTAGCAATCCAATTCGTTAAGTGATTTAATTTAATTTTTGATTCAAATCATTTCCAATCATTCTAAGATCATAAATAATGTCACAAGCAATCAAGATGAGACAAAAATTTAGAGAACAAGAGAATCACTAATGGAGGTAAGTAGAGACTACGCATATGTACATTAATCAATAGAAATACATGAAGTTGATTGATTACATTTGATTTCAACAAATAGGAAGTTAGCTAATCACCTAAGAAGTGTCAACTCAAGATTACAAAATGATTTCTTCACTTGATTGAACTTTTGTTATTCAAGACCAAGAACATTAGGTGTGAGTTTCATCTTTGCAGGAAGCTTCAATTCCAAAGATCTGATTTTTAGGTGTACTGTGTTGTGTGTAGTGACCAGCCGGGTCGTTACAAATATCATAATAATTCAGTATCATGATGATACTTTAGTTAAAGTCGTAAAATAACATATGAACCACATAACTCAATCAAGACATTAGATACACAATAACTATATGCGTCATCACATATTTCAACTAGAAAATCTCACACAACATAGGTGAACAGTCTAAGTGGCTTGATCCTATTGAGCCAACAACATGATCTTTTTAATCCATCTAAATCAATGACTAATTTGAATAAAAGTCATAACACAACATGATTTCTTGAATTTCGTCACTCAAATTAAGAAAAGTCTAGTATTTATGTTAGGGTAGAAAAACTTGGATATGAACCTACTACGATATTAGCTAGCATAACTAAGCCACCTATGTGATTAACTCGTTGACTACCTTCTAAATACTACGCCCTCCCAATACTTAGTTATGGATTTTAACCTGTGGCCTTTTACTTTAGTCTAATATGGTTGCTTTATACACATAACCTTGACCTTATATACATACGGATCAACATTGGCTGCTTCTAGAGGTGACCCAATTATCCATTTTAAGGTCAATTTCCTAAGAAGGATTTTCAATAAACTGAACTCTCGGAGCACCACAACACAATATGCTTACAATGAGATATGCAACTTTATAAACAATCTTTCCTCTAGTCTTGGGTCAATCAACACAACTTTTAACATCATGTCTTAAGCATTCTCAATACAACTACTCAATAAATAACATAAAACTTTTAACCATTTAATCAACTATACGTTATCATAGGTCAATGTATAGAGATTCAAAATCATACATCAATATATAAAATCTAACATAACTTAATCACATACAACATATAATAGATCCAACTATCCTATACATGTTCACCAATTTCATCATAAAACAGGTTAAATTAAGGTAACCCACGCTTGATGCCATTGAGGCAAGAAGCCCTCTGCCTCGTCCATGCCCGATGTCATACAACCCATGCCCGGCATGAATTAGGTAAAGACCCTTAAGCCTTCGTGTTCGACCTCAATCCATTTTGAAATGATTATTTCTCCTCATACTCAGTGCCACTCAAACCATGCCTAACACCATTTCAACCCGAGACAATTCTCTTTCCACACGCTCAACACCATTAATCTTGCGCCCCACGTGAGAAAGGCAAAATACCTATAATTGAAACTACACTTGACAACATGAAGACCCGTTTGACATGATGGTGAATTTTACACATGCAGAATCACGAAGATAACTTGATCCACCTAAAAATCAGAAAACACCAAACATGCATTGCAACCATTCATATATAATCACCATCAACAACTTATTTGCGCCCAAAGAACAACATGCAACAACAATTAAGGTAGAGTCACTAAAACTTCACTTTCACAAGTTCAAACACACTAAACCTCAAGATACACCAAATCCCATCTCAAATTCATTAATACACCCATGAATTTAAAGAATTATAGGCACAAACAACTCAACAATTCAACAAGAATCAAGTTTAACTTTCCTTACGTCAAGATCAATTCAAAAATGAGGAAAGAGGAAGAAGGAAACAACTTCAAGTAATCCTTGAAAACTCCATGCCTACACCATGGGACTTGATTCCTAGCTTTCCAGGCTCGAGTCCCTACTTAGCTACTCAACTGTGATCTACTACAACACTCAGCAAAGTTAGAAAGAAGAAGAAAATTTTTAGAATTCTAAAGCTTTTCTTTCTAGTTTATCCCTCTATAAATCTTGAGAATGAACTTATGAAACTCAATTATCAAAAGAAACTTTATATACTTTTCCTTTAAGGTCAAATTAGACCTTTATCTAGAGAAATTCTTTAAAACACCTTAAGACTCCTTAGTATAGTTCCTTAACTCCTAAAGTCCCTCAACAACACATCTGTAAACATTACAACACATAATCATTAATAAAATTGAATAATTAATCAACACATACAATGTTACAATTATCAAAATATTATTATATATTTTCACTTCTAAAATTATTTTATTCTATAAATTATTCATTTTATTTTTCAATTTATTTTTTAAAGGTTAAAATACTTTTGAGTCTTTATAGTTTCACTTACTTTACTTTTTAGTTTCTATAATTTTAAATAAACCTTTTTATTCTATATACTATCTTTTTCAATTTTTTTGTCCCTATGTTTAAGATAGATTTTTGTAATTTTTTTTGTGTGTTGGTGTAACAAAGATCTTCAATTTTGTAAAAGTAAAAATAAATTTGACAAAAAAACACATAAAGTTAAATTAATACTTTTGTCACGTTAATATAAAATAGATAATGTTAAAAAAAAAAATAAGTATTAAAAAGATTACAAAATTATAGACATTAAAAAAAATCTATCTTAAACTATAGAAATTTGAAAATATTAAAAAAATAAGTATATAAACTAAATAAATTATTTTAAACTATAAGAATTAAAAAATAAAATAAATAAAATAAAAAAAAAACGTTAATTTTTTTAAAATTAAAAGCATGTTTATAATTAGATGGACTTATGCTTACTCTTCAATACAACTAATTTCCCATATCAACCACAAGTAAACAACTTTACATATGAATATAATTAAAGTAGTTGTTAGTTAGACAAAAAAATAAAGCTCCTAAAAAAATAAAGCTACTAAACAAACAGAATTAAAATCGATTGCTTTTTAATATAAAATAATGTATTAGTATCACTTCTAAACTTTTCTAAAAGTTAAACAAATAAAAATTTACACGATCTCTCGTAAAACAACACGTATTACGAATTTGTGTTTTGTTTATTTATTTTTTTAAAATGTTACATAATCATAGAAGAAATAAGAAAACACAAACGATAATCAGATTAGAATGATTCTCATATCAGAGATCAAATATTGAACAAAAAACTAATCAAATTAATAAGTGTAAATTTTAATAAAATAAAAAATGTGAATAGTTACTACTAGTTTTGATTTGGGAACGAAGTATCATGCCGAGAAATAAAAACTAATTTTTGTTACAAACTACAATAGTCAATACACATATTTTTTTCCTTGAAACATAATGCTCAAAATAAAAATTCAAATCCAGAACTATATATTTAAGAGACATAAATTACATTAAGGGTGAAACTGGTTATAGTCTTATACTAGGATAACATGAATCCAGGTCCAAAGCAGAAGAATTAATTGTTGAAGTAATAATGGTCCGTATTTAAGTATTTATTTATTGCGTTTTGTTTTATCCGGGAAAATACAAAAAAATAAATAAACGGAGTTTCCAAAGAATAGAGTGCAAATGTAGGTGCCGCAAAGAGTGTTGTTGTTGGTAGAATGGTAGTATAGCATAGCAGTGGTAGAAATAGAAATATAGAAATAGAATAGTAGGTCTTGGGAGGGTAGGAACGTCATTTCAGAAATATTCTAAAGAACTAAGATTTTCAAAGTAGATAAAAGTGAAATTAAAAGTAGAAGAAGGCAAGGCAGCATCATATATCTCTTTCCATCAAACAGATTCAAGCGAAAGTTGGAAGCCATGGAGATGGAATCCATGGCCGCATCCATCGGGGTCTCCGTCCCCGTCCTCCGCTTCCTCCTCTGCTTCGCCGCCACCGTCCCTTTCAGCTTCCTCTGCCGCCTCATCCCCCGCGGCCTCCCCAAACACCTCTACTCCGCCGCCGTCGGCCTCGCCCTCTCCTACCTCTCCTTCGGCTTCTCCTCCAACCTCCACTTCCTCGTCCCCATGTTCCTCGGCTACGCCTCCATGCTCCTCTATCGCCCCCGATGCGGCATCCTCACCTTCTTCCTCGGATTCGGCTACCTCATTGGCTGGTACACTCGATCCGTCTCCTCCATTTTAATTATCTATTTATTTCCCTCTTTTCCATTTTCTTTAACATTTAACCCTATTTCTCTTTCTCTCTGTAGCCACGTCTATTACATGAGCGGCGATGCATGGAAGGAGGGTGGCATTGACGCCACTGGTGAGTGCCCGCCAATTTATTACTGTTTCTTTATTTGCGTTTTGGATTGAGGAATGAAAGTATTCATTGACTGTTATGTTTTACTTGTTACGTTATTTGTGGGGGTAGTTTGGTTTGATTATTAATTGTGGTTGGTGTTGGATTGGGAGTAGGGGCTTTAATGGTTTTGACGCTCAAGGTTATCTCGTGCGCGGTTAATTACAACGATGGATTAGTGAAAGAGGAGGCTTTGCGTGAGGCGCAGAAGAAGTACCGTTTGATTAAGCTACCTTCGCTCATTGAGTACGTTGGTTACTGCCTCTGCTGTGGGAGTCACTTTGCCGGTCCTGTTTATGAAATGAAGGATTATCTTGATTGGGCTGAAGGAAAGGGGGTATTGTTTTTTTTTCCCTCTGATTTTGGTTAAATATATATAACAATTAGCAAAATATACCGCCTTTTAGCCTGTACGAATACAAACTTAAAAAAGCATGTCTACCGAAAATAAAGAGTTCTTTTTTTCTGGAAAAGAAGTTTCTAGAAGTACTTCTAACTTGGATCCAGAACTCTTTGAATGCCAATTCTCCTTGAATCTGACGTAATAAATTCATTAGCAATCTCACCATTTTTTTTATGCTGATTAGTTATGAGTGTCAAGAGTGTCTGTTCTCATATTTGTTATTTCAATTCTATTCTTTATCCTTGCTGTTGTTTGCAGATTTGGAGCACTGAAGCAAAAGGACCATCCCCGTCTCCTTATGTGGCGACCGGCCGGGCTCTTCTCCAAGCTGGGATTTGCATGGCCATGTATTTAAACCTTGCGCCTCATTATCCTCTGTCCAATTTTACTAATCCTTCGTACCGAGAATGGGGTTTCTGGAAAAAATTAAGTTACCAGTACATGTCTGGCTTCAGTGCACGCTGGAAATATTATTTCATTTGGTCAATTTCAGAATCATCAATTATCATCTCTGGCTTGGGTTTCAGTGGTTGGACTGATTCATCCCCGCCCAAGCCACGCTGGGACCGGGCCAAAAATGTAGATATATTAGGGGTTGAGTTTGCGAAGAGTGCAGTTGTGATTCCAGCTGTGTGGAATATACAAGTCAGCACCTGGCTCCGTCATTGTGAGTTTCTTGTTAATGAATTTGAATGCTTTTATTGCGGGGTTTGATTAGTTATCTCAGTAGGTTATAGACAGTTCAATTTTAGGCATGAAACTTAATATATGGTCCTTTTCTGCATCATTTATAAGTTATTGTTACAATATGGCTATAATATTTTTTATGTGGTTACCTCTGGCTTTTTAACTAGTCTGTACTTTGCATCAGGGATTAGTTGGGTCATATTACAATAATCTCTCTTGAGTTAAAACATGGTTTTTGTTTACAGTAAATTACAGCATGATCAAGCCATCAACCCTGGACCCCAAAAAATGGTGCAGCTATCAACAATTAATTTTCGTTTTTTTTTTTTCTTGGTTCCTACCCTGTAGACTTGGCTATTTGCAGAATTGAAAATTGATGTTGATTACCTATTTATATATCATTCATAAGGGTTGAAAATGAAATATAAAATAGTAATCTTGCTATTGTTTGGGTTTTGGTAGATGTTTACGAGAGGCTTATTCAGAATGGGAAGAAACCAGGCTTCTTTCAGCTACTTGCTACCCAGACTGTTAGCGCTGTTTGGCATGTGAGTTAAATTTTAGTTGCATTTTAAATTGTTTATTTTATCCAATGCGGCTGTATCTTGGTATCTACAATTCTACATTATTATTGCTTCAAGCTTACTTGATGTATTTGCAAATGTATGTCTAGTTTTTTAGGAAAAACTAATTATTAGACAGATAAGTCATAACAGTCATGAGTAAGCAGTTTGTGATGGTTGCTGTTTTAATATTGATAAATTTCTTCTACTATATTATTTGAAGAAAAAAAATCCAATTTGGCAAGCAGAAGAAGCTGTTTCATGAAACAATGTTGGTGCGCTGGAATTTTGTATTGTTGATCTGTGCTTTATGTGTAAGGATTTAAGACATCATTTTTGTTTTCTTTTAACATTTTGACTTTATGATTGTAGGGCTTGTACCCTGGATACATAATATTCTTTGTCCAGTCTGCATTAATGATTGCTGGTTCCAGAGGTATAAATTGAATTATGCTCATTTGCTATTCTTTCTTCAGTTGGTTAACTTGTGGTGCTATGTTTATTTTGAAACAGTCATTTACAGATGGCAGCAAGCTGTGCCTCCAACAATGGCTCTGGTTAAGAATGTCTTGGTGTTTATGAATTTTGCTTATACACTTTTGGTTCTAAACTACTCTTGCATTGGTTTCATGGTTCGTCTTCTTTCTCTCCTCTCCCTCCAAACACATTAACACATATGTCCAATATGTACTCTGACTTAAACAGGCAAATATGGATTTCAAAGATTTTTACAAGTTTTCCATCGTTTCTTTGATTTTGTTTGAATAGGTGTTAAGTCTGCATGAAACTCTTGCCTCCTATGGAAGCGTGTATTATGTTGGAACTATTCTTCCTATTGTTATGATTCTTCTTGGTAAGGTAATCAAACCTGGAAGGCCTGCCAGATCTAAAGCTCGGAAAGAAGAGTGAGGTAGATGATGCTGTTTATTCTTGTTGGAATTTTTGAAACCACATTAGGGTACTGCTGGAGAATGGATTTCCAGTTTTCACAGGTTTTCCTCCCATGGTTTTTAACCTCTTGTAACAGCTCCTTTGGTCTTGAAAATGGTTGGTCCTTTTCATACTCTTGGCTTTAGCATTGAATTGTATTTCTGTGATTAGAAACATCTTGTTGGAAAGTTTGATAAAAGCAGTTATTGAAGAAATATGAGAAACATTTATATTTATGTGATTTGTCTCTCCTATCTGCTCTCGGTTCCTAACAAAGTAACAATTACTGTAAGCATGTGTTTGTTTTTTCAAATCCTAGCAGTCGACAAATATGCAGATACTCTGATGTATGGTAGCGTAACTATACTATTTAATTTTCAATTCACTCCCAAGTTATTTTGCTTGACTGTGTACAAAAATGATATCCGCCTTATTGGCTAGAAAGTAAGGGCATGTTACTAAGAAATTTTTGGTCAGGAACTGCCTATGGTCCAAGAAGGAAAAATGAGATTATTCAATCCATCAACCGGAGTACCATTATCGCCTTAATCTATTCAGGGTGTATCAGCTGGTTTTTTCAGAACTTATGTTCTTAAAATGTCACTAATGCAAAGAAGTGATTGAACTTATTTTTGAATGATGATGGGATTCATAGGTTTATTTTTTTTTTTTGGTGAATAGGTATTTTTTTTCTTTTAAGGGGGGTGTATTGGTTTAGGATTTCGTAGGATTTTAAAAACTCAATTCATAATTATGAATTGTTTTTCTTAAAAAAAATAATAATTACAACCAAAGTTTGCATAAATAAAACATTTTCCACCTTGCACAATACTAGAAAACTCAATTCATAATTATGAATTGTTTTTCTTAAAAAAAATAATAATTACAACCAAAGTTTGCATAAATAAAACATTTTCCACCTTGCACAATACTAGAAAACTCAATTCATAATTATGAAATCTATTGATCCTTTGGCAAATGTACCAATATCAACTTGTAATTAGTAGTGATATATGAGTTGTCTTTACAAGGATTAGGTTGATATTTATCAAATTTCATAATCAAGCCAATTAAGCAAGAAATTTATATCCACAATTTTATTAAGATAAGGTGCATTTTTTTTGTAATATGGAATTCAAACTAAAAATAAAATGTAACAAGTTGAAAAATTGAATTTAATTCAATAGATTTAGATTATTGGGATCAAACTTCAACAATCAAGATTAAAAGTACTTCATAATCTAACACACTTACCTCACAGTTATTCCATCAACACAGTTGACTTGAATATCTAAACATTGATTTCTCGATATTTAGTTATGAGCATCTTCATAAATCATCAATTCCTTGCACAGCTAATGAAGAAAACTTGCATTGAGTTTAACAATTTATATGTCTAATGAGTTGAATTCTATTCCTAGCAATCCAATTCGTTAAGTGATTTAATTTAATTTTTGATTCAAATCATTTCCAATCATTCTAAGATCATAAATAATGTCACAAGCAATCAAGATGAGACAAAAATTTAGAGAACAAGAGAATCACTAATGGAGGTAAGTAGAGACTACGCATATGTACATTAATCAATAGAAATACATGAAGTTGATTGATTACATTTGATTTCAACAAATAGGAAGTTAGCTAATCACCTAAGAAGTGTCAACTCAAGATTACAAAATGATTTCTTCACTTGATTGAACTTTTGTTATTCAAGACCAAGAACATTAGGTGTGAGTTTCATCTTTGCAGGAAGCTTCAATTCCAAAGACAGAGAGAGTCTGAAAGTGTAGAGAGAGATTTTTTTTTCAATTTGAATTTTTCTTTTATAAAGGTCAATAATATACTGTTTTATGCTAAAATCACTCAACCAAATGAAATTTGTTGGACAGATTTGAAGTCTCCTCACCTTGAAATAAGAAATCCGTCCAACCAAATTATACTCGAACTAGATTTTGGAGCTTGTTGCCTTGATTTGGCTAGGACATAAAAACTTGGGTTGACCAAGTTTTCACCCTTTTGCTTCTCTTTCCTATTATGCCTTCAAAATGTAATCTTGTTGTATTTCTCTCCCTTGTCTTGATTTTTCTACTTGATATAGGTTGCACCTAGCAAAAAATATATATATTTGAGATTAATTAGCTAAATATTTAAACAGAAAAATTAATTTACTAATTATATTACTCACAAAAGTTAACTAGTTTTAATATTTAAACAAAAAAAAAGGTTAAGAAGTCAAGTAAAATGTTTTCATTCAAACAAATTTAACATCTAACAAAATTCTAAAATATCCACTTCTTATTTTATTATTAGCTTATAAATAAGTAATTACAACCAAAGTTTGCATAAATAAAACATTTTCCACCTTGCACAATACTAGAAAACTCAATTCATAATTATGAAATCTATTGATCCTTTGGCAAATGTACCAATATCAACTTGTAATTAGTAGTGATATATGAGTGATTAGAAGGTATAACTTTTTTTTTTTTATACCGGATTTACTCTTATAGAATAAAGTAATATTTTAAGTTTAGGATCTAAGATCTAAGGTTTAGGATTTAAGTCGTAACTTTATATCCAAGTATTTTTATTAATAAACTTTATTATTATATTTTAGAGTGAAATAAACACTCTTTAGCTAAACATATATATATTTTTTTTAATTTGTGATATATGTTTATTTTGGGATATATGTCTATTTGTCGAACTTGGACCAAAGTATAATTTCTTCTACTATGTGATATATGCCTATTATTTGGTGTTCTCATTTTTATGCAAGCAAGTTTCTTTAGTTGATGATATATATAGAGGTATTTATCGGATCAAATTAATTTGATGAACTCGATAATCCTAAATGAATCAATTAAATTGGTTTGAGTTTTTTTTTTTTTAATGATTTAACTCGAAGTAAATTAATTAAATTTAATGTTAATTAGTTTAAATATTGAACTTAAACATTTAAAATTTGAATTAATTTGAACTAAATTAATTAATTTATATATTATTTTTTTATTTGGTTAACAATTAATATATGTGAATTGCTTTTTATTATTTTGAAGTTGTTTGTGTTATAATATGTGAATTTTTTTCATTTCTTTTCTCAAGTACTTAAAGAAATAAAAAAGGAACTATATTACATATATGGAGTGTCATTTTATCTTCACACATTATAGTGCATTAAGTAGATTAAAAAAGTAAAAGAAACTATATTACAAATTTATAAATTTAGTTATTTTAACAATATATCAATTTAGTTAGTGTTAGAAAATTTATTTACTTTGAGTTTTTCTTTTTTAATTTATTGGATATTTGATACTTTATATCGATTCAAACCGATCAACATCATATTGGTTCAATTCAGGTTAAGAAAAAAATTAAGAAATTCAAACCAATTAAATTTAATTAGTTTATATAAGACTTTGACTCAAATCCAAATCAACTCGACGCATGAACCCCCCTCATATATATATATATATATATATGAGGGAGTTATAATTACACCGGTGTAATTTTTACCAAGTGTTACACCACTCAATAACTTTATATTCAATGTGAATTTTGTAAATTTAACCGTTAGATTGAAAGTTCATATCACTTTATATGTGTATATCAAATTTTGTTAAAATTGAATAACAATTTGAAGATAATCAAAGTGTTCATATTTTAGTATATTTTGAAATGTATATATTACGTCAATTTTGTTTTATGAGAATGAAGTATCAACTCATCTTAGATTAATATAAAATTTGATATATATGATCTAAGAGATATGAACTTTTAATTTAACGGTTGGATTTTCAAAATTCATATTTAATATAAAGTTATTAAGCGGTGTAACACTTAGTAAAAGTTACACCAGTGTCGTTTGAACCCTCCTCTCTCTCTCTCTCTATATATATATATATATATTTCTTTCTTATTTTCACTATATATATTTTTAATATATTTCTTTCTTTGTTGTTTCTTTTTTCCTACCAAAGAATCCTTAAATTTTTTAAACCAATGATTAAAGGCATGACATTCGTTGCAGTCTTCAGTTCCCAAACTACGAGGGCAAAATTGTGGAAGCCCATGCAGCCATTAATTGTAGCCTGATGTGGGCGACGTATGCTACTTGAGTATCACATATATTCACTAATAGCAGACTCTTTTTCTACTATTCTCCCAGTTTAAGCCCGCTTAAATGTATTTTTAATTTTTTAAGTTTACCATAAATTTATTTTTAATTTTTTAAATTTAAAATTATTTTTTTATGATTTTTAAAATATTATTTTAATCCTTTAAGTTACTAATAACATATTTGAAAATAATACATTGAGACTGTTAAACAACATCAATTGAGTTTCATGTCATGTTTTATTAACAAAAATATTAGTAGGTAGATTTTGTGTGATAGTATTTCATAAATTTTTTGAAGAAAATTGAGTATAAACACTAAAATATGATTTTTTTTTGAAATTATAAGATTAAAAATATTAATTTTAAATTTGAGAAAAAAAATAAATTTACCTTAAATTTAAGGGAAAAAAATATGTTAAAAACCTTTTAAATATATGAGCATAAAATGTCCAGTACTATATCAAATATAAAGAATTTTCAATTAATTTTAATATATTTTTCTAAAATACTCTTTATTTAATCAAAATTTTATTTTAGTAATCTTTTATTATTTTTAATATCATATTTGAATGAAGATTATTTTCAAAAATTGTTTTTAAAATAAACAAATACAATTAAATGAAGATAATTAGCTTTTTAATTAAAACATTTTATTTTGTTTTATTTTTTATGTCGGAGGGAGTACAAAGTATTCTTAGTTTTACTTAAAATGAACTCAACGCTCAAGTATATAGACAACAGCAAACTGGCTCCAATTTTTTTTTTTTCACTGTACCTTTCGCCTTCCATTTTCCAATGGCGTGTAACTCTGTTACTTCTGCGGTGATAATTATAGAGAAGAAATTATATTTATAGATTAATTGTGAATAACATTTTCTTTAAGAGAAGAGAGATATGAAATGAGAAGAAAAAAATGTATAAAAAAGACATTGTAATTTGTAAAAAAAATTATATACTATATATATATATATATATATATATATTATCATTGTCATTTAAATTTGATAATAAGAATATAAATAAGTCCAATTAAGTAAAAAGTATTTTAGTAAAGATATGCGGTAAAGTTTTTTTATTTTTTTTATAACAAAGATTTACAATCACAAAATTCTTTTTCTTACA